GTGGTTTTCTACAATCAGTGCACTATCGCAGTGATATATATATATACAGATAGACTACAAATGGCCTCATTTTCATGTATATAATAATATTTATTGAACATACTGTACATTGAGTATCATTTATGTGGCCATTAAATTGTCATCGCATCTCATTATATTTATGTCGCTTTATATATATTTATATTTATAAAAATTTATATCAAAYCAGTAGTTAGTAATATATATATATATATATATACCGGTATATAACAATTCATTATATCATAAGTCATAGCTAAGCAATTCACTTAAATAGTTTAATGGTTTACTGAATTACTACTATTAATATTACATACATACACACACTTAACTTAACTTRTGAGTTATATGAGTATAAATATATAATATACCATAATATTGACATTTATATACTCAATATTTATTATTATTATTATTATTTGTAGTAATACTTGAAAGAATATTCTGTGTGTTTAACTTTTAAAATATAAAAAAATCATTTTTACAGTAAAATTGTGAATCATATAGTGTATATACAGTGCTTTTAAAAGTATTAAATAAAACTAAATTTGAATWTTGGAAAAGTTTTTTARATAAAATAAATTTTCTGATCATTAGAATTAATTAAGAAAATTGAATCATTAATAATATTAATAAATTTATATATATATATATATATATATATATACTATAGAATAACATTAMGTATATACATATGTACTCTAATACACATATTTGATATAAMAAATTATATGCGGTTTAATAATATAAATATATTATATATAAAATTCATGGATATTATGACAAATTATATGTTGCAGACATCTGTTTTCGGGAGGAGTAGTAGTATTAGTTGACTGGACAGTAGGTGTGTGTCAAGTGGTGTGTGTTTGTATGTGTGTGTGTGTGTGCTAACCKTCATCACAATATCATCAGCAATTATACTTTTATATATATATAAGTCATGTATGTAATGAATTATTTTTCAAAGAGGAGATAATCGTGAAAAATCAGTACACATTGTGGCTAATAAATGGGTCCACAATAACGGAGCCATAAATACCATATAAATATATTGAATATGTTTAATAATGGTTGGGTTGGGATCTGAGGGGATGAACGATAAAGAGAGAGAGAGAGAGAGAGAGAGAGAGAGRCTATTATATATTTAGGGAAACAAACATAACATATGATGATATACTACTACATAATGTATTTAGGCTTTAAACTAAAATAATAATCATTCATAACAACAGTAAAAATAGTCATCAAAAAAACTAATAGTAAGTAATATGTATAGTAATAGTAATTCAGTGGGAAAAACGGTTTATTATCAATAAATATTAGACCTATTGTCTAAATTGAGTCTAAAATGCTCTCTCTCTCTCCCACTMACTCACTCTCATCCAATAATAATAATAATACTAAAAATATTTGCAGTGACTTTATTATTTGGGAAACATTAGCCCAGCTATTGTATGGCCAGAAAACTAAAGCGGATGTCTATACACACACACACACACACACACACACACACACACACTGTATATAATAGATGGTATGAAACATAAAATACTGTAATAATAGAGGAGACACAAGTCATCTACTAAAGTGATGAGACCTTTACTACTACTACTASTACTAAATGATGCCATCATATAATAGATATGTTTATACAGTATATTGATTGAGACAATTGAAACACATGAGGGTTTGGTATGGCTCCGACAATAAAAAAAAACTTTAAATACTGATAATAATAAAAACATAGTAAAATCACATATAATATATCTACTGTATAACCGTATATTTATCCATACATTTATTGAATAAAAACATCAACTTATGGCTCAAGTAGTACTGTATGTAATACACTCCTAACTAAATGGATATATTATATATTTATAAGTTACAAACATATGTATAATTTTTAAGTATTAGCTCCCATATATCAACCTACAGTATATATATATATATATATATTGGTATAATTGTACACAAATATAATTTGCATACAAAAAAATTTTTTTACTGTAAATATAAATCATAGGATTTTTATTTGTGGACATCATTTAAATATGAATTGAAATTCAATCGAGTGTTTAATATAAGAGATAATGAGATTAAATAACAGTTTTTTGAGAATTAGTTAGAGAGGAGTGAAACATTGTATGTAATACTATGTATGTATTTGTTAATACAATTACAATAAAACACATTTTATACTACAAAAAGAAAATTATAAACATTCAAAATTTGTTGAACACATTTTATAGTCGTGTTATACATATATAATTTATATGTACTGTAGTGTTGAATGAATGAATGATTTGTGACAATAATAATAAAAAATAGTGAAACAATTTCTATATATATATACATCCAAATCTCAGATGTATTTTATTTGGTGGTGAAACCCAATTGGGAAAAATCATACTCTCAGAGATACAGTTGGTCTGTCCTATTTGGTGGCAATGGTGTGTCGGGTTTGAACACTAAATACTAAAACTTAATGGTTCACTGATCGATATACATATATATATATATGTAGACTAACCATAGATTTTGGTGTCAGAGAGAGAGAGAGAGAGAGAGAGAGAGAGAGAGAGAGAGAGAGAGAGAGAGAGAGAGAGAGAGAGAGAGAGTTTAGGTATAGTCACTGTTGTTAAACTACAAGACCTATTGACGGAGATTAAGGCAAATGAAATTTACATTTCAAAAAAGCAGTCAATTTTGTTATAACTATTTGTTATAACATTTTTTGGCTATAAATATATTATATATATATTTTTTATTAAATGGTTGACTCATTTCATCTCTCTCTCTCTCTCTCTCTCTCTCTCTCTGGCCGTTCACACAACAGACTCTCTCTCTCTCTCTCTCTCTCTCTCTCTCTCTCTCTCTCTCTCTCTCTCTCTCTCAGCTCTTATAGTATATATATATATATATTGTTTAGGATGTGTATGATGTGTTTGATGCGATTCAATGGTTAATAATATGCGATGCCTTGTGTATGTCTGTGTGTGTGTGTGTTTTGTAGGCCAGTGCTGAGCCAATTATGATATTGAAGTCAACCACAAATAAGTATTAATAGCATTAGATTTTATGCCATTCATTAAATCTCTTGTGTATATATACTGTATATGATTTGTGCGATAAGATCTCCGGTTTCCCTCAAAATATATATATAAAAACTAAATACAAGTTGTTTCCCAAAATCATTGAATTTAATTAATTATTATTTATTGATGACATACCTCATGTGTCAAATCAGGTTATGTTATCACAAATTTTATTATTATTAATATTTAAATTAGAAATTTTCATCAATTAATTTTGATGAATAATTTGATGTATATCACATGAAAAATGATTTTTTTTAAATAGAAAACCAAAAAAATAATAATAATAAATTACAAATAAAATTACAAACAGTTTAATTTTTTTTTAAATATATTTAACATTTATTTATTTAATTAATTAATTGTTTTTAATTACATTTTAATATATTCAATATATATATATATATATTTTACAGATTTTATGAAAAAAGACTAGAAATCTTATATATAATTTAATTAACAAAAATTAATTGTTTGTTTTTTTCAATTAACATAATTAATTTGTTAAAATTGTTTTTATACATGATTATTTGTTTTGTTTTTATTTTTCAAATAAGTATACCAAATGTAATTTTTTGTTTTAAATTTTACAATTATCAATCCGGCACATTTTTGATATGATTTATATATATGTATATATATATATGCTCACAGTTTTTTTACCACCAATTATTAATAAATTATATATTTTTTTTGATATTTTTTTTCTACTAATATAATACACAACATTGTAGGGTCTATCGTATCGTTTTTTTATAATAATTACTATTAAACATTAATTAATTAATTAATTAATTTACAAATTTTTCAATTTTGTGTGTATGTGTGTGCAATTTAAATGAATTTAAATTAGTTAAGAAAATAAATTAAATTATTTATAATAAAATTAAAAATAATTATAAATAATTTAACAATCTATACATAAATCTAAACTATAATAAAAAATGCTGATTAAATGCAATATCTAATGTCGACTATTTTAATAAAGTGTTTAATAATAATAATAATAATAATAATAATGCTAATGATGTTAAAAATAATTTTATATTAAAAATGATTGAATTTAGGTTTTAAAATAAAAATGTTATAATTAATACAATATCAATATACACAATGATTTTTTAATAAAGCCCTAAAAAATTGGCTAATAATGATTCAATACATTATTATATGTGTGATGATTTAGATTTAATTTTAAGGCACAATCACTTTCATTCAATTGATTTTTTTTTTGTTAGTTTAGTTAACTCTCAATGTTGTTGTAATTGAAAATATATCCCAAAAAAATTATATGATTACTAATAATAATTTTTAAAATGCGCTAATCTATACTAATAATAATAATAATAATAATTCATAAACTATAATATAAAATAATTTATTTTGCCTAATAGAGAGTCAATTATTTTATTTTATTTAATAATAATTATCAAAATAATATCAATTTTTTTGTTGTTGAAAAGTAAATGCAAATATACTTATTTAATAATACTGTAAATGTCATTCATTTTATATAATCAATCATTTAATAGTGTTGTAAAATAACAATTAAAGGTGATATTGAAATTATAAATATACACTTAGTATGCAAAAATACAGTAAATATATATATATAAATATTATTATCTATTATTAAATTCAAGTAATTACTGGTTATAATCACAAGTAATTTGCAATTTGTATTTTTGCGATACGTATCGATCTTTTATAGAAATGCCTACTAAATAATAATAATAATACTTTTTTTAGTTAAAAAAGTTTATGATAGTTTTAACAATATAAGTACACCTATATATACTGTATATATCGGGTATAGCCATACTAAACAACATATACAGAGACAACTATCCCCATACATACATACATACATACTAGAGCGCAACAAATGTATTTTTACTAAATAATAATAATTAAAAAAAAGAGAGACAGACAGTGAGTATGGGCACCGTTATGTGTTTGTGTAGATGACGGGTAGGTAGGTTTTAGGGAGGGGGAGGGGTATTCATCCCTACCACCACGGGTGCTGATGCATCAGATGATGGCCATAGGCTGGCGGCATATTCATACCGAACGATGTCATACATTGGGCGGCGGCACCGGCAGGCAATTGAGACAGTTCACCGTTGCCGACCATATCCTGACCACCACCACCATGATGATGCGGATGATGTGGATGATGATGATGGTGATGATGGCCCGGTTTCATCATACCCGGCTGACATGGTTTACCGTCTCTGACCAGTACGGGTACGGCCACCCGACGGGGCGATGGCAGCGGATTCATTTCAAGGCCTTTCTCTTGTCGGGCGCGCTTTGTTTTGTATCTATGATTCTGTTATCAATCAACAAAAAAAATTGTTTGAAAAATCAATACAATTAATAATTTTTTTTGTATTACTATATATTTTGTGTATTTAACATAAAAATTGTTATTTTAATATATATTATATATATATATATCATATATGACAGCAATTTTAATTGTATTAAAATTAAATTTTGAGATTAATCTATATTTATTTTTATTTTATTTTTTTTTAGTTTAATAGCTTATTGGAAATTAAATGATAAACTAATTATTATTAAAAAAAACTTTCATTTTATAAAAGAAATGCCGCTTTTTGTTGTAATATTTATATATATATTAAATATTAGTCTATTATTGATATAATGTCGGCCCCACTCAAAAAATGCGATTATTTTTTTCATTAATTTAGTGATAAAAAAATAATAATATAATTTCTTCTATATAAATATATACTGTATATATAAAATCATTATTAAATAATTAATTAATTATTAATCACTTTTTTTTATAAAATCCTGTAAATATTAATCAACAACAAAAAAAATAAAATGAACCTAAAGTTTCTCAACTATTTTCTAGAAAAATATTTTAATAATTATTTTTTTTATTTATTGTGATCAAAAAATACAAAAAATAAAATTAACTTTTATCTATCACCATTTGACTAATTGAATCATCATGGCTAATGGTTTAATTTATTTGAACCTATTTTTTGTTGTTATAAAATAATATACTGTATATATAATATATATTATATATATATAAAACACTGTCTATCTTTTATCAATGATGTTTTCTATGTGTACATTGAGACACATTTATCAAAAACTAAACTTTGATTTATTTTTATATCTATATATATACTGTATATATAGTATAATACAGTATATTTACTTTCTATGTTTTTTTTAACAAACATTAATCAAACCATCCAATGCAATGTATTTGACAAATAAAATATATTAATAAAAATACAGTAAATCTATACTGTTTTTATATTATATTATATATTTTCTATACTCATTTTTACATGTATTTAATGATAGCTTTATTTGTTGAAAAAATATATATTATTGTATTATAAAATTTTATATTTAAATTATTTTTTGTGATTAATAATAGTTAGGTTATTAATCAGTTTTTAATAATAATAACAATTTTATTTTATTATTATTATTATTAATATTATAAGTATTTCGAAAATTTCTAATATTTAATATAAATCAATAATATAATCTATTTAACACAATTTATATTCAGTAAATGTAAATATATATATTATATATACTTTAGTATATATATATATACAGGTAATATATGTGTCATCAATAAACTGATAAACAGTGATTTTAAGTGAAATCTTATAACTATTAAACTAATTGTCACTATTATAGCCAATAATTGTCGCCAATCGTTATCATTACTTTAGTTTTTCTATAATATATAGTTATATACTGTATATATATATCAATATATATATATATATATATTAGAAATAAAATAACTAAATGTTTTGCCATCTAATTTCATACTCTGATTTATCGCCAATCATATGCTTGAATTTGTTTTATATATACAATACATATATTGAATATAAATTTATATATTTCATTATTTTTATTAGATTAAAAAATCCCACACTATAGTACTGTATAGACTTATATAAGTTATATTGATTAAAAGTTTATATATATTTTGTTGTTATTGTTGATGATTATGATTTGAAAATAAACTCATAAATGCAAACACAAAAATGAAATATAAATACTATAATATATAAGTACAGTCAATACATGTACTAATTTTTTAAAAAACAATTAGATAATTAAACTACTAATTAAACAAACTAACAAAAAATACTAATTATCACATATATGATATTTTTTTTGAAAATAATTAAAACTAAAACATTGTAATAAATAATAAATTTGTTTCAAAATGCTAACCTGAAACCAAATCTTGACTTGTGTTGGGGTCAGTCGTATAATACTAGCTAAGTGTTCCCTTTCGGGCGCCGATAGGTATCTCTGTTGACGAAAACGACGTTCAAGTTCATAGGTCTGAGCCTTGGAGAACAGTACACGTCGTTTACGTTTTTTCGGTGTCGTCTGATCTGAACTGCCGCCACCACCCGATTGGCCACCATCTGTACCGTCACCGCTTAACTTAGAACTTCGCCTACCGATCATATCGTCAGATCCCAGATGATGRTCGTCCAGTTCATCATCGCTTTCATCGACAACGCTTAGGTTGCTATCGGAATCGTATGGACTCATCGGCGGACTCATCATCATCTGACTACTTGTTCGGCTGGCATTACTGACGCTAATCAATCCATTGATAACATTTATCTGTGGTTTAATGTCGACAATGTTGTTGTTGTTGTTGGATGGACTGGATCTGGAATTGGGCGACAGTACAGCCGTATCGGTTGGTAGTGCTGGCGATGTGTGCTGTGGCGATGATATGGCTGGCGGATCGCCGCCAGACACTGATAGGCTGGCCGACGATGTCGACGATAAGGGTAGATGATGATGATGGGCTACCGATAGGGCATCGGTAGGTATTTGTAGCGGTTCCAGAAAACGTGCCCCGTCCAGACCCATTTGACTTAACGGTGCTAAATAGCCAGTAGGGTAGGGGTGCAACAAAAATTAATTATTTAGATTTCTAATGGTGTATATATTTTTTTAGAGGTTATCTTATCGTTAAAATTTTTTTTTGAATTTTATTTATATATATATATGAAGTACTACTCTCTAATTAAGTTTTTTCTTGTTTGTTAACATATATATTATAGTATATATAATTTAAGAGGTGTTCAAAAGTAAGTGTAAAAAATATGTGTGTATAAGTGTGTATGCATTTGTGATTATATAAAAAAACAAAACACAAGTCAAACATCTGCAATACCGGTGCGCTCCAAGCAGTCTGGGATGATGGCCTGTCCATAGGATAGGCCCAGTAAAAATAAATGTTTTAGTTTTATAGCCATGTATTTTTATAATGCCTTTCCATATATATATTGTATGGACAGCTGTTTAAATATAATCTCTCTCTCTATATATATAAAACTTTTTGTTTTTTGGATGTCGAGATGTAAGATGAGGTAATATACTGGTAATGTATAGTTTGTGTGCATATATAATATGTAATTATATTATAATGTGTTAATATTGTTAAACAACTTTTTTTTATATTATAAATATAGAGTAAATATGATATACTGTATGTATATATATATATATCGATGGTTCATATACTGCACTAATGGGATGGGATGTATAGATAGATGAGGTATACAGTACTATACTGTATAGAAATAATAATAATAATAAGTTATTCAATACTTACGTAATTGTGTCGGATATGCAAACATATCGTAAGGCGGCAAACATCGGGCGTACGGTGTATCACATAGACTGCTATTATAAGCATAGAGTGGATGATGAAAGCCGCCGGCAGTTGTCGGTGTTGTGTTGCCTGTAGTCGGCGGCGGCGGCAGACAATTGTCATGAGTGCCACCACTTTCGGCTCCGGTAGTAGTAGTAGTAGTAATAGTGTTTGAAATGGCACTGCAATTGATGACAGATTTAGTATTGTTTTTTTGTTTTGTCTTATTATTTGTCGGCAAATCTAATATATCTTTAACAGAAAAGCCGAAACTTTTGGCCTCTTTGGCTGCGGCAACGGCAGCCACTGCGGCGGCGGCCGCCGCAGCAGCCGATGACACTGTTTGACTACTACTGTTGGACATCGGACTATCGGAAGCCTTATTATTATTATTATTGGAAACATTGGCCAACATTTTCATAACGGACAACACATTCATAACATATGAATATGAAGACAATTCACGCCGACTATACATTAACTCTATATTTGACACACATTTAAAACATTTATATTGTCTTTATATATATAATTTAGTTAAATAAAAAAACAGTATATTTGTAACACACAAATGTTTTTGTCAATTAAAACAATGATTAATTAAAGCACATAAACAGTGATTTATTATATTATTATTTTTTTGAGAGACCTATAACATAAAACACATAAAACATATATCACATACAACAACACACACAAAATATTAGGACCGGTATGTTAGGTGTCAGATCCTCTCAGACACATACAACTTACACATCTATATCGATAAAGAGTGTATGAGTGAGTGTGTGAGTGAGTGAGTGAGTGAGTGTGTAAAATGTTAAGTTTAAGGCCCAGACCCGAGAGCGTGTGAATGGACTCTGGGATTTATATGGAGTTTCTCTTAACATAKAGAGACAGAGAAGTGTCTTCAAGAGTTTCTTTTTTTTTGAGGGACACTCCGATTTTTAAGAGAGGGGCTGGGATTGGAGTACCACTACTACTCCTAGAGAGAGAGAGAGAGTGTGTGTGTGTATATAAGCAGCAAAAAAAAGTGTTGTTCACAAAAAAGTTGTTCACTTCTTAAGCATTTGACACTCTGCGGTAGTACTACTACTACTTGAACGGCTGGGCGATGAGATGATGATGAGGAGGGGTATGTGTATGTGTGTGTGTGTGTGTATGGATATATCAGGTTTGGTACATGCGTTTAGAGTGGCACTCATCTCTCTACTCTCTCTCTCTCTCWCTCTCTCTCTCTCTCTCATACTATTAGTGATGCGGCACTAGTAGTAGTACTCCATAGTACACTCCACAGTACTGTACACACACTCACATACCAGTGCTTTACAGTACAGTATACATAGTAGTGTACCACTTGTTCCACGAATAAGCATCTTCTTGAGCGTCGAGAGGGTGGCGCACATCCAATCGAGAGCTATCCAATCGGTGCACATCCACTGCATGTATGTATATATATGTATGTATGTACTCTATGTGCCGACACATACACACACATACATAAGCAATAGTACCACTTCTGAGCTCAAAAAGCACTAAAACATGTTAAGCACCGCCAATCCAAACACATCCTTCACGTATATATTATACTTGTATTATATATAATATATTGTATATAATATAATAGTTATAAGTTATATACAATATATATATAACATCTAATACTTAACTGTCCATTCAAACTACTAGTGCTATGTATTTGCAAAAACCTTTTTAATTCATAATAAATGGCTATTTTTATTGCAAATTTTTAAGCGTCTCATAAATTTTCATTAACTTTATATATATATATATATATATATTGTATAATACAATAAGTTTTTTTTCTCTCTCTCTTTCAGTATTGTTATATCAAACAAACGTATCATTTGTTTAATCTTCTAGTGTTTTATATGTTGTATGTAATCGTTTAGTATTTTTCAATTAGTTTGCATTGAAATATATATATATATATATATTTTGTTGAAACAAAATTTACAGCAAATAATAACAATAATAATTAATAATTACATCAATTTAAATATATACACTTAAATTAATTAATTAATTATTTTTAATTAAAAAAACTGTTTTAATGATAATTTTTCATAAATTACAGTTAAAATAAATATATAAATATAGTATTTCTCATGTTATCTAAGTTTTGTTTATACAGTAAAACCAAAAAAATAAAATAAATTATCAAAATAAAATAAAAATGTGATTGATAAGATTATTTTATGATTGTTATTCTAATACTAATCTCAAAATATAATCCCAGACTAAATAATAAAAATAATTATAATAACAATCAAATTAGCAAAAAAAATCATATATAATTTAATGTAGATATATAACTTATATAATATATAATATTTATATGCATTTGTTTGAATAGATATAATATATTGTATTTTGTAAACACATAATCATTAGTTATTAGATTTAGAAAATATTTATATATGAATATAAAATATTTCAATTTTAAACATTAATCAAACAATTGATTTTTTTAAAAACTATTTGAATAAAATATGAATAAATAAAATATTAATAATAAAAGCAGTCAATTATATATATATAAAATTGTCAAAAAATACTAAACTGTTTTTTTTTCTTTTTTTTAATGTCAATATGTTTGCATCAATTTAAAAACTTGTATTTCTAGTAGTATATTATTAATATAGTAATTACCTGATACTTATAAAAAAATAATTTTTATTTATACTTATAGATGATTATTTGTTTTGAAAATATTATACAATTTCAAGTGTATTATTCATCTAAAGGACTTATAAATTGTAAGTGTTTGCCCATTAACTAAAAATTATCAATTGAAATATATATATATACCCTATTATAAAGTATATGTTAATAATAATTTACACACAACTAATACAACATCATTATTATTATTACTATTATTACTATTAGAGTATGCGATTAATACTATTAATTTTGAAACAAAATTGATTGACACCTAATGATGGTATTATAAATCTTGAAAAACTCTTGAGACGAGCACTTGTATGTCAAATACCGGAGTGTCAATTGAGTTGTTGTGTATGTATGTGTGCTAATGATATGTGTGTTTGTTTGTAAATCTTATAATAAGGGTTTTAAGCCTTACTTATGATTTATATATACAGTATAAGGTATAAGAGTTTTTCAGTCAATAAATTTATTTATGAATGAATTATAATAGTATTTTTAATTAAAAAAAATAGTTTTATAATTTAGGTTGTAGTTTAAATTTAATATATTTAACATAAATAACAAAATTATCATTTTCAATATTATTAAAAAAAATTAAATGCAATTACATGTTTACAGTATTAATACATTTTGCATATGTATTTTTACTAATAATTATAATATTTTTTAATGAAAAAAAACTAATTGTAATATTTTTTTTAATAATAAATGCATTTTTTAGTTCAATTTAATTATTCTGTACAAATTTAATTTTATTGTTATTTATATATATATATATTAATAAAATATTATAGTATTTAATTTGCAGATATATTTTTGTAAATTTAGCTAAATTTTTAACAGAAAGAGAGAGAGAGAGAGAGTATAGAAAAATACACAAATATTTTTGTTGTGAATCTAATGGTCAAAAACTGTGGTCAGAAAAGAAATATTTCCTAAACACACATTTTTGTGTCTGTTTTGTGACTTTTTAAAAAAAGGTTAGGTTGGGTTAGACTGTTTGGCTCTAAAGGCACTCTGGTATGTCACTGGTATGTGTGATGTTTCAAAAAAAAAATGCCGTACCAACTGATATATATATATATATATATATACAATACAGTAAGTGATCCCAGATTCTCTACCCCCATCAATTGGTTTGTAGTATCAAACACACACACAATTTTCATCCCCCTATGGCTCAATAAATACCTGAGCAATCGATATACATGTATGTATGTGCAGGTGTGGGTCATTCAGAATCATACCTCTTTATATGTGGTGATTCTCTGGTGTGACCTTTTTTTTTGGTCAAAAAGTTATGTTATGTATAGTATTTTATATTGACCTTTAAAAATAATAAGTCTATAAATATATTTTGCATAATTAAACCCTAATTTGCAAATTATATATATAGAGTATATTTATATATATAAGAAAATTTAATTAATATTAAATATTTTTATTTAAAAAAAATATTCGGTAAATATAAATATATAAAAGTAAAAACATATAATTATTGCACAAATAATAAGCACACAAAAAAAACTTTAAATTTAAACACAACATTAAATGTCAGTAAGCAATACATATAAATATAATAATTATTAATTAAAGCAATAATTGTGTTTTTTTCCCATACAAACAAAAATATATTACAATTAGTTATAATATGATTTAAAACTAAAAAATAAATAAATAATTTGCTTACTATTTATAATCATTGCAATTATTATCGGAATCAAGCGATAGTAGTGTCGGCGTAGAGTCGGGTGTTGTCGATGCCGTTACCATCGATGATGTCAATGTAATCATTGGATTCAATGGTTGTTGTTGTAGCTGCTGTAGCTGATGGTGCTGTAAATCTATGTACGACTGTCCTCCACCACCACTTAGGAGACCACCATTATATTCAGACTCATAGTCAGTCCAGCGATCAATTGTTGAATACATTTGTTTTTTTGTTGTTGTTGTTGTTGTTTGTTATATATATTTAATTATTATTATATTTTTTTATTAACATAAAATAAATATATATTTATTTATATTTATATTTCAATTTGAGTTTTTGTTTTAATTAGAAATATTTATATAAATAAATATTCAGTGAAATTAATTTTCATGAATAATTCATTATAATTATTAGTCAGTTATATCAATACAAATTAAAAAAAAGTATTAATATATTTAATTGTTAAATGTTTATAAATTATTTTTTAACAACAAACTTTGTTGTAAGCTTTTACTTTTTATTAATATTTTTTACGATTAAATAATAATAAATAAATAATTCAATTAAAAGTTGTAACTATAATATATAGACTTTTTTTCTAAATGATAGGCTATATTAAGAGCCCAAAAACAATCACACCATAACTTATTGATTGATTAAAATGCTTCATTTAAAACATTAGCAAAAAAATAGCAAAAAAATGATTTTAAGAGTAATATACAATACAGTATCGATGATAAACCACTATTAAATTACTACTACTACTAATATAATACTGTATATGAAATAATGAAAAGCCAACTGAAAAATAAATTTTTATATCTTATGCTAGACTTTATTCGTTAGCTTTCTTTTTGTTTAACCATTAAAACAAACTATTGTTAGAAAATCTATGGTTATTATCAATAATGATTTGGTGACGGGAGAGAAAGCTGATAGGCATAGACACTGATAGGACATTGAGAGAGAGAGAGAGAGAGAGTAGGCTTTAAGATATCTCTCTCTCTCTCTCTTTCTGTATGTATATATTTAGCATATATTTACTATACATTTTGTGCACAAATTTTTGCTAAAATCTAGACATTTAATTAAAGCAAACATTTGAATAGTCGCATATATACACACACAGTATATATATATATATATATATATATATATATATATATATATATATATATATATATATATAATTTATGTCTATGTTTTACAACAACAACATAATATCCATTTACAAACAATTTGTCAGAAAACTTATCATCAATTCATCATATATTAGGCTACAATATAATTGTTCAACAATAACAACAATAACAACAACAAAATAGCATTTTTATTTAATTTTTATTTATATATAAATTAATAATCTAGTAATTTGCTAATTATTTTATTAATTTTTCAATGTGTGTAATAATATAATTAATTTTTATGATTCTCTCTCTCTCTCTCTCTCTCTCTTTCTCTCTGTGTGTTTAACTAATATTATAACTAATAATAATATAATAATCATATGGTATAATATTATATATATATAGTATTATACACAGTATTGGGCACACAAAATATGATTGTTTTAATAGGAAAACAGTATTGACTTGACTTTTATATATTAAATATATATATGATATGAAAATATCAATTTTTATAATACAATATATTGTGTGATGTGTTTAGTCTTTACTTAGTGCTAATGCAAACATTATATCCTGTAATCAGTACAATGTGTGTATGCATTGCTTTGATTACATTAATAATTTTATATTATTATTATTATTATTATTAGATATTTATATTATGTTATAAAACAACATACTGTATATATATATATATATACAAAATTTATATCAATATATATTTTATAGATATATATATATTTTATTTAGTAAATATACAAACAATATGTATGCTATTGTACAGTAGTATACTGTAAATTACAGTATTAATAAATCCCATACTATTTCTTAAACCGCAAATTTATTTATTTTTTATTATTAAATAAATGAACAGATGTTATATAATGTTAAAAAATAATAATAATAAATATTTTATTATTATTATTATTAGTAAACGTTATTTCATAATTTTTATCTATATTTTTTTAATCTAATTTTTATATTTATTGTATATGCTATTTTGTTGCAATTTATTTTTAAATTATTGATTTATTGTTAGATGTCGTTAAATAAATAAAAAAAATTAAAATTATCAATTCTTTAAGGGTTTTAACAAATTATTAATTTTTTTATAGTTAAGAATATTTATATTGAAAAATAATTAATTATAATATATTAATTTAGGCAAATATTTTAAAGTTATTTGAAAAAATTATAATTAAATCTTAAATTACAATATTGTTGTTAATATTATTTGACAATAATTTGATAACAAACTAATATAATGTGTTAATTATGTAATAATGATATTTTATTTTTTTACAAATCAATGTCAACTATCAAATCTTATAAAATAAAATAAAAATATATAACATATATATAGCAAATAAAATTTTAGTAATTGTGCAATATCTAAATCATTCACCAAAAAAAACAAACAAAATTCATATTAAGTTTATATTTTTATTTTAAAAAGTTTTAATAAAGTCGAGTCTAAATAATAAAGTCAAACCAAGCATTAATGTTATTTTTTTTGTTAAAGTAATACACATTGAAATAAATTATACGGCATTAGTTGGGTATATATATATATATAATTTATGACTAAAATACTTATAGTTTTGTTTTTGTTATTATTATTATAACTATTATAGTCTATTACTAAGTTTAGTGTGTTTGATGTGGAAATTCAATTGTATGGAAATTATGGTAAACCAACAAAATATATATATAATAATAATATATGATATATTTTTATACTATACTATTAGATAATATATATATACTGTAATAATATTTTTACAGTATATTGAGTTTAAGCAGAAAAATTGTATTAAAAGCAATAAATAACATTTTTTTAAGTGATAATATTATATTTTATATTTTTCAACAACTATTAAACAAAATTAATACAACTAAGCAATAATTTATTTAAAAACATTAGGAATATTAATAATTTTTTTAAAAATTAGATATTTTAATAGTAATTTTTAAAAAACATATTACATAACATTACCAAAAATATATATTTATATAATTTTAAAATTGCAATGATTTCAACTACCAAAAAAATAATAATATCAATAACTATATTATTTTCTATTAATATTTTTCTATCAGTTATAATCAGTCAAAATTATTTGATTTTTTTTTATTTTTATTGTTGGTTTTATTGATTTTATTTTGTGTGGTTATTAAACGTTGACAATACAAATGTTAAATTCATTGTCTAACACAAAACTACTGTGTATGTGGTTTACCACCCATTAGATTATTATTATTGATATGCACTGGTAGTATGTAATACGGTTTGTCCATACAATAAGCTATACTGTATGTATTATATAAATTTTTGGGGAAACAAGTTGAGAGATATGTGTGATGATGTGTCGGTGATGTTATGTTATGGTTAGGCTGTGTTTGATATATATATATAATGATTGGCGATTGTATGGCGTGACTAGAAATTTAAACATTTATTTTGATAACAACTAACATATAGTTTTAGTGTATAATAATATCAATAATATCTGAGTCCCCCAACAAAACTTAGTGGTATTTATTTGGTATGTATGTATGTGTGTGTGTGTGTGTGTGTGTGTGGTGTGACAACTGTGTTATAACGGGATTTAGACACGAAATTACTGAGAAATTTTGTGTCAGATTTTTTTGTGGTGTTTTCAATAAGTGGAGACAATTGGGTGTTTAAAAAAATTCATACAATAAGATCCTCAGTGATCCTTAACACCATCACCACAACATACAAGTACTTTGTATGTATAGAGTGTATGTGTACTGTATATGATTGCTGCAGAGTTGGCAAAAGTCAATTGACATTTATATATATATATATATATATTGTCAACCAGTTGTCTGAGTGAGTGAGTATGTGAAATGAGTGGGTGAGTACTAGTACTGTGTGTGTGTGTACTCTCATACCTAAAAAGTCAAACACAAATGCGTGGATAAGACAAACGTGGCTTTAATATTAAAATCCCAGTATAGTATTGGGTACTGATTTGCTGTATAACATTGTGTGTGTGTGTGTGTGTGTGTGTGTGTGTGTGTGTGTGTGTGTGTGTATTAGCAATAAAATGTTAGCAATAAATACAATTTGAATCACCGTTGTGTGTGTGTGTCTCTATGAATGTCTGTCATATCCAAACCAAGTATTTTGTGGGCTTTATCTACAAAAACTAGTCATACGAAAACTCAAATGAATTCCGGTCCCAATCATTGAATCACTGAATTTGTAAGTGAGTGAGTGAGTAAGTTAGCCATTAAGTGGGTGAGTGAGACAACTAATTCATGTTGAATTGTCACTCTTATACTGTTGTACTGTATTATACTGTGTTTATTAAGTAGAGAGAGAGAGAGAGAGAGAGAGAGAGAGAGAGAGAGAGATGAAGCTCATGGAGTCTATCCATCCATCCTTTTAATCAATGATATGATTGTGTATATTCAGTCTCTCTCTCTCTCTCTCTCTCTCTCTCTCTCTCTCTCTCTCTCTCTCTCTCTCTCTCTCACTCACTCACTCACTCACTCACTCACTCATTCATTCACTCACTTTTGTGGTCTAAAGATTTTATGCTCCGATGCCTTATCTAAGTCACACATTTGCTGACCAAAGCAAATCCTATTGTAATGCACTGTACTGTATGTGTATTGTATATAATACAGTATTATTAATACTACAGTACTATTGTGTATACAAAATAATAATACATTGATATCGACGACTAATATTAAATAATTTTCTTAAATATTTCTATCTATTATATATCATCTTTTCATATCTCTCTCTCTCTCTCTCTCTCCATATTATATATATTTATAAATACTTTTTTCTCTCTCTTTCCCAGAGATAGTGAAATAGTGAGAGTTATAGCTCAAAATCAATAGCTACCACACAATCCCGGGTGTCCAGGATTTTGGTGATCGGGTTCTAGAGAGTCCAGTCCAGTGTCCAGTGTGTGTGGGGTTACTATTTGGACATTGGGTGTGCATATTGTTATGTATTACATTACAATAGGGGGCAAAAAGTAAAGTAAAAGCTTATTCAATGACTGAGAGAGAGATCTCATGTTCACACCTGGAGAAGACCAGAGCACGTGT